CAAAATTACAAATTTACCTTCAACTTCGTTAGTTTAGGTACAACTAATTATTTATTTATTAATTTAGCATTATTTTTGTTATATAATTGATGGGCATACTACCTAATTCCTAGCAAAATCTATTGTTATTTTTTTTATTTAACTATGTAATAAAGGCCGAATATAGGCAATGAAAATTAAACAATTCTTTTGTCGAAGATATACTAAATTAAACAATGAACGAAGGAAGCGCGCGCACACATACAAAAGGCGAGCAAAAATGCACCTTGTAGGCAAAACGGCTCGTGGGATTACCTCTTTTACGCTGTCTTCTTTCTCAAATTAATTTCATGCCTTCATTCTCTACCAGTATATCTTTTTTCAAGTCTGATCTGCTCAGACTCTTAAAAATACATATAACATCAACCTAACAATCATCACCTCAAATTAAAGAAAAATATAAATACAGAACAATGTAAACATTAAATTTGTGTATAACCCAATATAATTACAAAACATAATAAATTTCAAATTTATCTGTAACCCGTCTTTAGTAAGAAAACAACATTGGTAGTACTTTTGCATGAATGATTGCTTTATTCCCCGCTAATTCTTCTCAATTCTGCCCCACACAAAAAAAGAATGTATGCAATAATAGACGAAACTCTAAATTATAAACCTATAAGTTTCCATGTTCGGATACAACACCATCCCAACTTTAACTCTTCAATATAACGTCCTTCTTCTATATTACAATTCTTCATAACGAAGTGTTAATTACTCAACTATGTCCAANCATCATTTCTGGTCATATGAGTGTTCAAATATTTTAATTACATTTTTTATAATTACATTTATATTTTTTGGATTACAATTGCAATAACTTTGCAATTATAGCCCATGCATGTATTATTATATTATTTTACCAGAAAATAGCTCATTGTATTTTTAAAATATCGAGTAATTATTTTAAAGCATTTCTATGCATGACAATTATTTTTTAAATCTGTTAATTATTTTATAAAATATTTTTATCAATGTTTGGGTATTTAATAAATGACCCTTTTTATTTTCGGACCTAGCCTAATTAAAACAGCCCGATTTCAATCCCAATTCAATTAAAATTAGCTCAAATCTACCCACGCCCAATTCAAATCAAAAACCCCAGCCCAATTAACTAGCCCATACCCGTTTCTTTAAAGTCCACCCGACCCAGATCAAATCCTGGCCGTTGATCTCAGATCAACGGTCCAGGATGATACTTCCTTTTTTAATTATCCCTAACCTCCCCAAACCCTAGTCATTTTGTTACAACCCGCCGCCCCTAAATTCCTCTTCTTCTCCGTTCTCTCTGAAGCCTCTCAAACCCTAGCCCCGCCGTCATCGAAACCCCTTCGATCCATGGGTTTCTTCGTCGATTCCCGGCCTTATCTGGCCTCCTATTTCTACTGGTGTTCCGTTTCTTGTATTGCTTGGGAATAATCTCAAGAAGCTTGAGCCATATTCATGTTCTCGATTAATTCATTTGTATTCACCCCATGTCTGTGAGTATTATCGTTTTTTGTGTTTTCATGGCTTCAAATCTCCGGTTTAAAACCAGACCTTTTCTCACCTCAGTTTATTTTTGTACAAACCTAGCTATTTTGGTTAAATCAGTTCAGATCTTTTTAGATCTGAAGTGTTTTGAGTTTGTTTAATACTTTCTCTTTAAGTTTCTTCCGTTTTTACTATTATTATCTACTGATTTCACTTTTCCCTAAAGCTAGGGTTTTGATTCCTAATAAGGGTTTTTTTTGAAAAAAAAGGTTTTGAAGCAATTTTGGTTTTCTTCTTTACTGTAAGACTGATTTCTGTGCTTGAGTGTCATCTCTGTGTTTCGATATGCTTAGGGTTCTCAAATACTCGACTATTTATCTCACTGTTCTTGACCATTTACTTTAGCTCTGTCAACTAAAGTAGTTAATTGAGTTATTTGCCTAATTAGGGTTGGGAATCGTATTCTTTTAAACTAGTATCTCTCTGAAAGATTTTTACCTGTTCTTTCCTTATATATATGTGATTCATAGTTAGTAATACTTTCCTTAATCATGTTACTGGCCTGATTTCTAGGCCTTGATCATTATGACCGAATTTCTTACCTTATCAAACTTCAGTCCTGTCAGTTAATTGATTCTGTATGAGATTCTCCTTAATTCAAGTGATACTTCCGTGATCCTGTCCTAATTGATTTGTGTTTGACTCTAATTGATTGATTAAGTGATTTTCACACCTTATGCATATATGATTGATTTCTTTACCTTATTTGAATCCCAATCTGAATCGTTAAGGGATTCTCCCCAATTTAAGGGGGTCCCTTTCCGGATTCTTCCGTGGGAATTGATCGAGTTAAGTCCCCAATTAACTGATTGATTTATTTGATTACCCTGTTTTATGAACTCTGATTTATTCTTTACCTTATTTATCCTACCTTACTAA